CAATTTTGTGGTATATAGATGCTATTTTACTTGTTTTTGTATTTAACTTTGAAATGATAGTTAAATTAAAAAAAATCTTGGTTAAATTTATATGGGACCACATGAGATGTACCAGCTATCAAATGAAAAAGAATCATCAAAATCGGTTCACCTAGAAAATAGTTCTGAGGTAACACATAACAAAATGCAGTCGAATTGAGAACCTCTTCCTTTTTTAAGTCGGTATAAAATAAATAAACTCTTTCTACTTTATTTTTATTGGGACTTTCGGAAAATTATATCGGATTTTGTAAATAAAAGTCGCCTCACTTCTTCCTCGCCTCTAATGCAAGTTGGTGCACCGAAAGAATATACATATTACTCTTACATAATTTTGCCGCCAAATTGCAGTGCTTCGCTGTGTTCCGGTCTGTCGGGTAATGAGAACCACTATAATTACGACAGTGAAGCATTCTACCTTACTCTTCGGAGTTGACAACACAATCAATAGACTTCTTTATATTGCAGGTGTTCCTGGGCTGCAGTAGCCACTTACCATCAAGTGAGCTGTAAGCTTATTTTTTGTACCAGTGGGAATCGAAGTCGTTTGCTTGCATATCATAATATTTGATTATAAAAAGGTAAGATGTGAATCATATCAAATATAGGATTATTACTACCAAAGGAAGCCTTATGCTATTATCATCAAAATATATTAATAGGAATGAATTATGATTTCTTATATTTACGCGAACACTACACATTGAGTAAAACTACTTTTTTACAGATTTTATCGCGTTTAATTAACTTATTTTATATTCCCGACGTTTCGATTGCTTTCCAGCAACGATGCTCACGGAGGACTGAGGTCACTGACGTCCCGATGTCAGAGTTAAACCGGAGTACCTACAGATTCATAATGATTAATTTTGGTCCGATCTACTCAGAATGAACTTACTGTGTCTTGAAGTCTTGCAGTGGTATGCTTGGGTTTAGTTTTAATTTTATGAATTATAGGATCCCAAGCAGGTGGTAGTACCCAGGCTCCCTCTCTATCGAAATTAGGATTTTTTTTTAATTTCAATAGCCTCACGTATCATCCTTGGCAGGAATCGATGTTCTTTCGCAAGAATTTGTGGTTTATCAAATCTAATGTAATGGCGGGGGCCGTCTAGTATATGATCACAAACTGCAGACTTCCCGGAACGTGAAGCAACAACCAATTAAACGCGATAAAATCCGTAAAAAAAGTAGTTTTACTCAAGGAATGAATTAAATTACATGTATTATCTCTAACCGAAAACTTTTGTAAATACTCGCCCATCATTTATATGGGACCACCTTCGATGTACCCTCAATTTTACTTCCTTTTAGGTTACAATGGTTTTGACGTTGCAGTACGTGCTCCGTGAACGATATTTTTAGTAGGTCCCTGTACGAACAATAGAGGCGTACGAGGGACAAGAAGCGGCTTTAAAAGTTTTCCTTTGTAACTGAGACGTGTTGACGACGTTAGGAAGGTATAAGAGATCATAATTTTTCGTAAATACTTCCTAGTGTTATGCGACTTATTTGAAACATATTCGAGATGGTATTATACTACCAGTCAAATACAGCCTATAAATGAAGTCCACTGCTGAACATAGGCTTTAAGACTTTATTACTTTATCAACGCTGGTGTTCCACAAGGCTGCGTGCTACCACCAACGCTGTTTCTCCTGCATATCAATGATATGTTGCAAACTAGTAACATTCATTGCTATGCAGACGACAGCACTGGTGATGCCTTATATACCGGCCGTGCCAATATTTCTCGGGAAAACGTACCGGGACAAACTTGTTTCTGAATTCGAGTCTTTGCTGAATAAAATCTCGGATTGCGGGCGACTAAATCTAGTCCAGTTCAATCTCCAGAAGACACAAGTTTGCGCGTTTTATTTTTGAGTAAGGTCATGCAAACATTCATGTGTATGCACAATTATTGATATTGGACTATATACTGTGTTATGACTCGACCTAATATGCATGACTTTAGTTTTTTCTACGTTAATAACTAGTCCCTTGTCATGAGACCATTGATTTAAGAGCGTTATATCATCTTGAAGTGTTTTTTGAGCGGCGGCGATGTCACGATCTGCTGATACGAGACAAGTATCGTCCGCAAATTGATATAGATTACGCTTTGTTATAAGGTAGTTAAGGTCATTTACATAGGCAAGGTAATGCAAGGGACCCAATACTGATCCCTGTGCTGTTCCTTCTATAATGTTTATTTTATCACTAAGTGTATTATCCACCCTAACAACATATTGTCGGTTACAGAGGTAGCTTTTACTCCAGTCTAATAAAGGTCCTCTTATACCTGTGTCTTGAAGCTTTTCAATTAGAGTTTCATGTCGTAAAGTATCGAAAGCCTTATTATAGTCAGTAAAGGCAACTAATACGTATCTTTTCTCATTAAGGTAAGTATTAATATCATTTTTAAATATTGACAGTAGCTGTGTAGTGTATTTACCAGGTTGAAATCCGAATTGATTGTTAGATAGAATAGAGTTTGCAGTGTAAAATGTTGTTTTTTTTTTCACATATACACTTTTCTGCTATGTTGTCGATAATCGGAAGTATTGATATCGGCCTGTAGTTGGCAGTTTAAACATACACACGGTTCTTCCCCGGTCGAGCTGACTCATTCGTCCTACAACCATAATATAGCTGCAGCATGACTCTACCACGTATAAAATGTGATTTGGGAACCTGTTGAAATTTTTATTTATCCACAATCAGGTACGTATGTTCAAATGGAGTGTAATTGTACACACTTACGAAAGTTTTCACTGCTATATGGGATTTTTGTAAAGTTTTAGATATCATATATACTATATACCATGAGATAATACTATATACATACTAGATTGGAACTCTTATTGTAGTTTATGAAAGTACATTAATACTTTGTGCAATCTCCCGTGTTACTTTTGAAAAAATTAAGTAAAATTTTCCTTCGATTGTCTCCAACTCATTTATATTAATGTGTTCCTTCCTATCGGAAACTATTGCAGTGTTAGTTTCCATTTTCAAAGTTGAACTAGCATATCTAATGGCCACTTAAGGAAAAAACAATAAATTTTATACCTTTGTAGTGTTAAAAAAGCAATTTAGAGCTATCGGCAGCTTTCAGATATTAATATGATATGTTGAGCCAATATGATATACCCTTCTCGGTTTTTGTCTGGAAAATGAAACATGTGACTTGAGTTTATTCATTTTTCGAGCAAAAATAGAAATCTGTTATGCCAATCCAGACAAACCTGTTAGTTGTAAAGTTCTGGTGTTGCATGGCCTTTCTCACAGTAAAAACTGTCGTAGCCTATTGGCATGCGCAACCATAGACGCCTGACTGACGCAGGCGGACTGGGGATAGCAGTATTAATTATCTATACTGGTAGGGCTAAGCATTTTCATTTTATATTTATTGCTTCTCTTAGGAATAAATGTAAAAAAAATTAAATCACTAAGCTCTACCATTTTTTATGGGATAGGGTGACAAATAAGCACACAGTCCACCTGATGGTAAAAGGTTGTTGTGACCCATAGATATCTACATCTATCCTAGTTTGCGAATCAGAATGTAGATGCGTTGTCACCCGTGAGGACTAAGATGGAATGCCTCTTTTCCAGTTAAAACGTGTATCCGGTTCTCTACTCTCACCATACGAAACACAGCAGTTTTAAGCTGCTATTTTACTCTGGTATTCTGTGAGAGCGTGGTCCTTCCACGGAGGAGCCAACCCATTTGTGCTACAACTGTACTACTAATATAGCTGCAGCATGGCTTAACCACGTAAGACTTTACCCAGCGAGTAGTTATAAGTGTATTCTTTTGTTCTTATCTCCACCGGTAGGGATAAGCATGAGTAAATTACCCGTGTAATATTATTAAAAATAGTGTTATTCAAATTCTTTTTCTTGACATGTTTCAAAAAGATCTCATTGTTTTAGATAGATGGCGACATATTTCGTTCACGCTGGACTTAATATAACAAGCCTGGCGACAGAGAGAAGTGTTAAAAGTGCGAAATTTCTGTACGTGCGAGCGCCAAACTATGAGAAGTTGTTACTATTGGGGGCTGATAAAGAAGAAGAAGAAAAGAAAATGGTTTGGTGAACGTAGAAAAGATTACCAGTCATCCGCGTTTTTGGATGGGTATGCTGCCATTAGATGGTTGCCATAGCCTATCAATCAGCAGAGTAGACCGTGTGCTCGTATGATTGATGGTCGGGGAAAAATTAGCATATTTCCTTTACGTCAATCACACCATAACATTATTAATAAGCAGCACAAAAAAGATTGTAAGCATGTTTAAGTATAACTTTATTGGGTATTCAGCTATGAATGATAATGTTGTGATCGTGAAGAAACATCAATGTTTGAAAATAAAATATATTTCAAATAATTTAAAAAATCCCCCAACATACTGCGTGTTGGATTCATCTCTACTCAAAAACCTTTCTAAGAATGAGAAGAAGGTCGTGACAATTATATACTTTACTATTACCACAGATAACTTTGATGACAAGACAATTGAACATTTTTGTTACCGTACGAGCAATACGTATTAGGCACACTTTTGTTAAAAATAATAACTACACCAAAATTAACGTTTATAAAACACCGTGATAGTTAAAGTGACAGTGACAGTTACGAAAAGTGCTATTAAAATAATAAAGTAAGTCAATATATCGGATAACATCAATATTATACAGTGCAAAATTGTGAGAAACTATCACAAAACAGAGTGCAAGAACTAAACGCGTAAGCGCCGCTTGCCGCATGGCACTTGGGACCTTCTTTTCACAACATCAATTATTGAGTAACAACTTTTAAATAATTGAATGCATGCTACAAAATCACTAGTTGCGAATTGTTTATTTTCTACCTACAATTTTAACGATTTCACAATTATTTTGTCTCAACTCAACTCAAATACAATTGGACACTTTTACTTGAACATCAGATCAATATGACTTCAAAATGCAATGGATGTATGCAAACACTCACAAAAAAGAAAGAATTATCGTGTACGCATTGCCCTAAAAAATATCATTATGCCTGTCTTAATATAAGTGAAATTAATTTTAGAAAAACGTCCAATAAATTTTTAAAGTCTTTCAAATGCCCTGCGTGTGTAACAACAGAAAAAAAGGTCGATAACTCTAATACACCCGCTAAATCTCACTTAAGCTCACCGGATTCTGATACATGCAAAAATGATAAATTTATGCTTGAAGATTTGGAAAGCTTTCTGGATAAAAGATTATTTGATTTTAAAAATGCCATCATTGCTGAAATTAAGAATACAATTGTGTCTGAATTAAATAACAACATGAAGGAAATCTCCCAAGAGTTGCGGTCTATAGCTGACTCCCATTCCAATTTACAGACTGAACACTACAAATTAAATGAAGAATACATGACCCTGAAGAACAATGTAATTAACTTAGAAGAATATTTAAATGATCTTCGCTGTCAGATTTCCAGACAGCAGCAGTGGTCGAGACAACAGAATATTGAAGTTTTAGGTGTTCCGGAAGTAAAAAATGAGAATCCAAAAGATATAATAATCAAGATCTGCAATCATGCAGGTGTTCCACTCAATGAACAGGATATCAACTTTGCTAATAGAGTGCAGCCTTTGAATCGTATTGAAGGTCGACCAAGGGTCATCGTTGCCAAATTAAGACAGAGATGTCTGAAAGATAATGTGATTTCTGGTCTGAAAAAATCTAAGGGCATCTCAACAAAGGATATAGGATTAACAGGTGAATCAAAAGTTAACGATCATCTTACACCCGAAAATAAGGCTCTATACAAAAAACGTAAGCTGAAGGCAACAGAATTGGCGTACAAATTTGTATGGACAAAAAACTGTCAAATCTTTACCAGAAAGAACGAAAAGTCACCGGTCATATCAATAACTTCAGAAAAAGATTTATTGAAAATAGTTTGAACACATTTCACTTTAGATTTAATAACCATATATCACTAATTATTGTTATTAACAAGTGTAGTTGTTTAATTTATATTCATATGCTCAATTGTTTATTTCTTGCTCATTGTTACACTTTACACCGTTACTCACACACACATATCATAATCCAAAATTATCTCTTCACAGTGATGTTACTAATAGCTTTCTCTAATTTTTCAGTGAGATATAAATTTAAAACTAGGATCACGACAGAATTGGTAAACCAAATTAACTATCATTTTATTTTAACAGATTATAATAATACTATTACTTATATTCCTCTTTCATAAAATAAATAACGCATTAACTCTATATTTCTAAAACGTTCGGGGTTTACGAACCAAAGTTAACAAACTAAACCAAAATATATTACTGAATGATTATGATTTAATTTTACTAACAGAGACATGGCTAAACGAAAGGTTTTCATCAAACGAAATATGTGATAATCGGTATGCAGCATTTAGGTGCGATCGCAATAGCAATACATCAGGTAAAGTCATTGGAGGGGGAGTAATGATATGTGCAAAACGCCTCTACCAGCCTCAAGAAAGATTAGAGTTTAGTAGGGATGGCGTAGAACTTGTATGGATAAGTATTGCAGCTCGTACACTGAGCAATACGCAGCGTTATGCCCTCCACGTTGGAGTTGTATACATACCTAGCGGTCCAATGCAATCTTATCAATTGACTCTAGTACAAGATTCGCTCTCTGCGGTTATGTCTGCCCACCCACAGGATTATATTATCTTAGCTGGCGATTTTAATTTACCAAATATTAACAGGACCTGTACACTCACGCTTAGGTACCTGTGATATTCAAACTGCTTCCAGTAACTTTATAAATAACTTGAAATTTTTAGGTCTTAGTCAATACAATTTGAAAAGTAATAGTAGCAATCATATATTAGATTTATTAATCAGTAATACACACGTTATGACTTCCGATCCACATACACCCTTACTATTAGAAGATCATTTTCATCCAGCAATAGAAGTAGATGCTTCTGAAATTCTAGTTTCTGATCGAAAATCTAAACCACAAATTAGGCATAACTTCTATAAAGGGGACTATAATATTGATTGGGTATTCATATTTAGTAATAAATCAACCGAAGAAAGCGTCGATATATTATATAATGAATTATACAAAATCATAGAAAAATTCGTCCCAAAGTACATGTTATCAAGACGATATAACTACCCGGTATGGTCTTCAAAAGCACTAATAGCCGTTATTAAAGAAAAAAGTTCAGTGCACCGCAGGTGGAAAAAGTATAAAAATCCACGTGATTATGATGAGTTCAGGTAACTGAGAAATAGGCAACATAAGATACAAAAGGAGTGTTATAATTTCTACATAAAGAAAATGCAAGAAGGTATTATAAAGACTCCCAAACTGTTATGGACGTATATTAAATCTAAACGTTTAAAAACTACTGGTTATCCAAAAACTCTTCATTTAGGCACAAATAAATATAGAACAGATGAAGAAATCTGTAAAGGGTTTAATGAATACTTCGAAAGTGTATTTACAGATCCAGCCCCAACATACAATTTTTTCTCCACAACTGCAGTTAATAATAATGCTGAGTCTTTGAACTCGTTAACAATTACGAAAGAAGAGGTGTTAAAGTCTTTAAAAAATTTAGAGAGTTGTAAAGGGCCAGGCAGCGACAAAATACCCCCTATTTTCTTTAAAAACTGTGCTGATAAACTTACTTTGCCACTAACCATATTATTTAATAAATCTTTAAGTGAAGGCAATTTTCCATCCAAATGGAAAGAAGCGCACATCATTCCTATCCATAAAAAAGGCACTAAAACTAAAATCGACCATTATCGTCCCATCTCAATCCTAAATACATTGGGGAAGTTATTGGAGAAAATTTTATATACCAATTTATATCCAATTGTAGCACGAACAATTCCTAATAAACAACATGGATTTATGAGCAATCGTTCTACTACTACTAATCTTAGCATTTTTACCAACGACATATTAAACAGCATGGATGTAGGTGCACAGGTTGACGTGATCTATACGGATTTTGAAAAGGCCTTCGACAGAGTGGATCACGTTATCTTGTTGCATAAATTACAGGTATTAGGTATCAACGGAGACTTACACCGCTGGATAAAATCATATATATCTAATAAGAGACAAGCAACAATTGTTGGCGGGTGCAGATCAGACTTTATAACTATAAAATCTGGAGTACCACAAGGTTCTCATTTAGGCCCACTCCTCTACAATGCTTATCTATTTGATATACATTCATATCTTAGGCATTCTAAATTTCTAATGTTTGCTGACAACAAAAAAGTTTACTGTAACGTAAGAAAAATTGAAGATTGTATACTCCTTCAAAATGACTTAGACAGTTTAGCAAAATATTATAACATTAATAGAATAAGCATCAATGTGTAGAAGTGTAATCAAATAACTTTGAAACGTAAAAAAAATCCGGTATTATTTCAATATACAATAAATAATATTCCCCTACACAAATCTTGTAGGGTTAGGGATTTAGGAGTAATTTTGGATTCCAAGCTCACAATGGTGGACCATATAAACTGCATAACAGAAAGAGCATATAAAATGCTAGGTTTTGTATTTAGAGTGTGCAAGCCTTTCAGTAATATCAAGTGCATAAATGCCATTTACTTTGCATATGTAAGAAGCTTACTCGAATATGCGAGCTGTGTATGGTCTCCACAGTACGCAAAGCATATTGATGCCATTGAATCCATCCAGAAAAAATTCATTAAATACCTAAATTTCAAAATGAGTCCAAATTGTGTTATCTACGAAGATAGCTGTCGTTTTTACGGATTTCTACCATTAAGAGATCGGCGCAAGTTGCTCGATATGTTATTTTTGCATAAATTGCTCACAGGTCAAATAGATTCTCCGGAGCTGCTATCGATGATATCGCTTAATGTACCTTCAAAGCGCACTCGTCATACAAATAAACGTTTATTCCATGTACCTTTGTCGCATACCAGTTATTCATCAAACTCAGTTCTGTCTAGGATACTACATAATTACAACACGAAATTTTCTGATATAGATCCCTTTAATTCGACCACATATGGTTTTAAACAAGTCGTCATCAAAAAGCTTATGTAACATCAATATAGCATGTTAATTTATATAATACTAAAGCATTTTACACACACACAGACACACACACTCTCTCTCACAAACGCATATACACACACATTATGTATATATATATATATATATATATATATTTTTAAATTACTCTTTCTGCTCGTACTCTTAAGTTATGATTTTTAAGTAAGAAAACTGTAATTAGCTTTAATTTAAAACTAAGTAAAGGTTGTATACTATTATTGTAATCATGCCGTAGTTTTCTAATAAATAAATAAATAAATAAATAAAGACAGCCACAAAGCACGACTCTAAGCCACTTGTCCACATTTACCTGTTGCACGTTTAACGAGGTAGGTTATCACTCCATTTGGTGAGAGACCTCACTACGCAGTGTTGGTGTGAAATTGATTAAAATTGATTATATATAACATAATATATCATCAACAATGAGATATGTACATAATAATATACTAGTTAGCAAATGTCAAATAATAATAATTATAGCAGAATGTCAAATCAAAACATTAATTAATAAATTTATTTATTTACCTACCTATCAAAGAGATGTTTTTACTCTAAACAAAGTGCCTATGTTATACATAACACACACATTGATATACGTTCATATCAGTATAAGCATAACAATCGATCACACATTCCACATTATGGTAAGTGGATGATGTGGCCCATAGACATCTACATCTATCGTTGATTATAGTGCGGCCGGTGCTGGTAGGGCTGCGGATGTGTGTGAAAGCGTTGTCGCGGCCCTGCCAATATGTGGCGAAGGTGAAACACCATAGGGTTTTAGTCAGTGCGTTTCCGATATATCCCATCCTTGTCTTTGCGAGGTGTTTGTACTTAGGCATTTCCCCATGTAATAAAGGTGACCATGGATTGCAATACCCACTTAACATCAGGTGGACTGTTAGTAAGTTAGACACTTTAATCATATCTAAAAATATCCTTCTATCTTCTGCTAAGTATTCCTATATTAAAAGCGGCCAATGTCTGTCTAACAGTGAACTGTTTATGGGCATATTATTGCATTTGCTAGGCATATTTTTACATAAATTCTAAGACTAGAGTCAGAACTTTGCAAGTATGCAAAATTTGAAACGCACGAATTCAGTATCTAATTACTTAAATCGACAAGGGGTTGCTGCAAATGACTTTGATTGAGTGCGGTTTTTTTTTTAATTTAATTTCAATTAAACTTCAATCCACATCCTTTGTTAATTATTTGCTTGGGATTTGTTCGAAGCAGCATAGTTTTAAACAAAAGTACGTAATTAGAACGTATTGTCAGTTTTAAAGTTAACGGCGAATTTATTTATAACATTCAATTTACGATTGACCTACAATTGGGATTCAAGTTTGTTGTTGGATGACCTCCCACTGTTGGGACATACCCACACAACACGCAGGGAGTCGATGGATGCAGGTGCCTCCCACTCGTGCTTTGTGGCGTTCCTATGGGAAGCCCTATGTTTTAGCAGAGGACTTTTGAAAGCTGTTATAAAGATAATAATTTAATTCAATTCATTTTTAAAATATATAATATAAGGGGTCATCTCCGAAAAAAATATTTTAGTATCGTGTAATCAGTATCTATTACTGCGTTTATGCGATAAAACTGGCAAATCAAATTCCGCATCAAGCGCATCGGTGGTTTCTTAGTTGATATTCTTGGTCTCACAGGTCTCAGTATGATGTCTTGGAGACACACTTCTGCCTGTCTACACTGTCTCTAGCTGGTAAAACGAATTGGCTTATTAACGAATATAGCTAAGGAGAAAGCGAACTTGTTTGCTTTTCTTTTTGCTTGCAAGTCGCGCTTAGACAGCACCAACACTGT